GTTTTTATATTCCTTTAAATGTGTACACCGTTTCCTTTAAAAACTAATTTTACACCCTGTTTATACCTTTGTTTAAACATTTACACCCCATTTAACCTCCTTACAGATTGATTCTCTCTTTCATCCAAAATTTTTATTTATATCTCCATTTAAATGTTTACACCCGAGTCACCTTTCAGGCAGACCAGCTTAGTTGGGGAACGCTCTACACATATAAATACTTACCATAAACTAATGAAATGTGTTTCAAAGGATTTTTAACGCAATTTTATGTAGACTTGAAATAGATACGCTTAGTCCTACGACAAAAATGAATAAGACAATTTTTGTAGGAAATTTTGATGCAGACATAGACTTCTACAGAAAATTCTGTATAAATTACATAAACGATAAGTTTGTGTTCATAGACCCTCCTGACTCCTCCCTCCTTTAATGAAGTATTGGACCCAGTAAATTCAATTTACTGTCAGTTTTTTTCAAATTACAAGACTAATTCTGTTTTAAGGCTAAAGGGGACGACAGAGTTAAACCAAGTGTGCGACAAAGACATTGACATTGACAAAGACATGTATATTAAAATTTACTTGGCTGTTTTTAGCGAAGTTTTTGATTCAAATTTAAATAAAAAAATTGAATTCAGTTTTAAAGACATTTAGAATTTTCGCCAACGTAACACTTTTTTGAAAAAAATTATTTAACTTTTTTTTATTCACATTTTATATAAATATTCATAATATTAAAAAAAACGCCTAGGTGAAAGATGTACTGTGATGATACAAATAGAATGCGACCAAAAAACTGAAAAAATTATTATTAGTTTTTAACGAAACGCGAATATTTCATTTCATTTTGACAAAATTTGCCGCCCGAGAAGGGCGCTCTATTAGAGTGGAGAGATACCTAAAAACTTGAAATATAGTAGTGTTCTTTTAATGTTTCCCGTTTATCGAAAAACTGTGTGAAATAACACAATCCCATGCGCTACTAGTTTTGTCTTTGTTGTTACTATGCAAATGAGTGAGACAAAAGGCAAACGGTCAAGCGTAGCGGAAGATAGGAGGGACCACCAGTCGTTCTCAAACTATGAGACGCCACTAAGCTATAATTTGTTATTATTATAATTTTTTAATAAATTAATAAGTCTTTTGTATGTTTCCAAGCAAAACAAAATGTTAACAGTCTGTTTATTTTATTGAACATCCATCATTAATTGTCAATTTCTCTTGCTGCATTTTTTAACCTATTGAGAATCACTGGTATGTTTTGGTTGAGTGGACTACATAGGCGTGCTGAAGTTTGCTGTCTCTTTTATACGACCTAAGTGTGAGAAAGACAACATACCACTGGTGGGACCAGCATAACGTTTATCTCACTTGCTCCTACCTACTTACTTGAAGAGCAAGAGAGACAACAAAGTTTTATGACATTCGGGTAAAATTAAAAGAATTCTTCTATAGCTGAAAGCTGGAAGTGAAAGATGCGCGTTTTGTTAAAGGCTAAGATGTAAGTATGCACCAAGGTCGCAATATTATTCGCAACAAAAATTTGTCAGAGAAGAGTTCAGTTACAATCAAATAAAAAAAAAATACAAAAGTAGAACAGAAAGTAATAAATAAATGTCATGTAAACAAATTTGAAATCAATAAAACGCTATTTTTTTCTATTCTTTTTCTGTTTTCCTTATTGTCATTGACTTGCATAGCCTAGGGTCTAGTATTTCTGGTACTAAGGCCTTTTGGTAAAAATATTCTATCTTGGGTAAACTTTTATCTCATAACTTGGGATCCGGAAAAATGTGATCAATAGAAATATTTTGTTCTGCCCATAAAATAAAATCACAATTTTTTTTATTGGTGACCCGTAATTGAGTTTGGACCTGGTAATAATAATCGTGTTGTTCAATTTGTTGTTTTTGTCTAGACAAAAATGAGGTCTATCTCTTATGGCTTCTTCGATAGTTTTATTTTTTGCAAAAAAAGAACACTGAAAGGAAAAGAAAACTGAAATATTTTCTACATGATAAAATTCTTTGAACTTTGTCTGTGGTATTTGTGAAAATAGAATAATGATAAAGTTGATAGGTTTTGAATAATTAACATTTTAATATTGAAAATCTGAAACTTGGAATAATTTATGGGAGGGTTTGCGGTAATTGGTGATCAGGCCAGAATTTCTTGAGAAAAGAAAAAGTTCCACAATGACATTTATGACGTACCCAAGCTCTATTGTGAAGCCTCCCCTTTATTGTCAATGCAATAGCAGCACATCATCTCAAACTTGGCCATAAATTTCCAGAATTCCCATTTTTCAATATTAAAATGTTAATTACCCAAAATCTATCAACTTTTACATTATCCAATTTTCATAGTGACCTTTAGAAAAAATCAAGCAATATTATCATGTGGAAAAAATTCAATTAATTAATTTTCACATGTCAACTTAATCGCGAATTCAAATATTTATTTGTAATTAAATTATGTAAACTGACCTCAGGAAATTTGGTTTGCCTTATTTAAAAATACCGTATTCTTGGGTAGTGGTTGCTTCCAAACATTACCTCCCTCACAACTGCAACAAGAGTAGGGCAAAAAATGCGGCGGAACATCAAAAAGATGATATAAAATTCGCGTTTTGATGACTTTCCCGTTATGGAATTTCAAAAATAGAAACACTTTTCTTTTCAGTAAAAAATGGTGATTCGTCGCCCTACCTTGTTTTTTCAAAAATATTTTCTATTATACCTGTTTTTAATATTTTTTTCAAAAAAAAAACAAAAATTAAAAAAGTGTTACGTTGGCGAGTTTTCAAATAATATTTTATGTCCGAAACTTTTTTCCAATTATAAAAATGTGAATAGTTAAAGAGAAAATAGAAATATAAATTCCGCGCCATCTGCCGCTTTAGCAACAAACTAAAACAGGTTCCCCTTTAGCCTTAAATGCTGATAAAGCACATTTTTTTAAATGATGTTTTTTGTCAGCCTTATAACTCGCTTATGGTTAGTCCTACAACAAAAATGCAAAGGTTTTTTTTGTAGGAAATTTTGAAGGCTTTACTATTGATAAGAAGATAAAAACCTATAGGAGTGATAGTTTCCGCAAAAAAGGCACCTTTAACCCCCTCCCCCTCCTCGAGCTCGCTACCCACCTTCAGAGATTTTTGATATACAGGGTGGTCCAAGTCGCCTCAACTTACCTAAACACACTAACACCTAAACTTACTTCTTTTTTTCAAAAAGTAAATATTTTAGTAATAATATTCATTCCTCGTTTTCTTAATAAATGCATCAAATTTTTTTGGCACGTCCGGTGTAGCCGGAAATGCTACCAAATTTAGTTTTTCAAATGGAACACCTATGGTTTTTTTCCTTCAACAATAATAATTGACATCAAAAATACTGGAAACCACATTTTGCGTAACACAATGCAATCAAAAAACATCTTAAATCTTAGAATGTTATAAGGAAATTGGTCGCCTAGCTTGATTTTTAATTTTAAAAGAAAGGTGTGAATAAAAAAAAATGCTTGGATACAGTTTAATTGTTGGTTTGACAAATCTAATTTGTCAGTTGATGAGCGAGTTCTCTTATGGAAACTCTTGGATTTTCGTCGACTGATAACAGAACGTTCAGATTTCTATTTTCTTGTTCTTCACAAAGAACCACACGTTTTTATTTTTAAGAAGCGAACCTATTCGTCTCAGTTGTTTTTCAATTCGACTAAATTTTCAACGATTTGGGTGAAATCTGTTTGAGTATCTTTCTCTATATTGTCTTTGAGTTTCCGCTCTATTTTTATTGCACTTAAAAAAACATTTCAAGCTGATCTACCAATTCGTCGTATTAATATCATCCATTATTAAAGATCTCAATAAGATTTATTGACAAATTAGGCTTTGTCAAACTAACAATTAAACGGTATCCAAGCATATTAATTTTGCATGAATACCTTGACAAGTACAATTCGCCTACGTTGCAAAATTTTCAACAAAATTCAAAAATTTAAATTGTTTTCTTAGTGCATTATGTAAAGTAAAATGTAATAAACAGTGCTTTACCGTATTTTTCATGCCAATTATTATTGTTTCGAGCAAAAAAACATAGGTGTTCCATTTGAAAAACTAAATTTGGTAGCATTTCCGGCTACACCGGATGTGCCAAAAAAATTTGATGCATTTATTAAGAAAACGAGGAATGAATAGTACATTATTACAACAAAGCGCAGCGTGAGCGCCAAGTTAGACTGGTGAATAGTTTTTTCCCCGGGTGTACAGTGATGGACAGTGAATTTCGTCCACCCAATTTCCCAACAGATTAAAAGTGTAAACTAGTCTTTGAGTTTTCCTAACCTTGTTTCAGAATTTTGATTAACGTATGTCATGTTGATAGAATGCTCGATGCTTCTTGCTACCTTTGTCCTTTGAAATGGTAGTCCTTTTGGTAGGCCAAAAGTATAGAGACACGTCTTTGAGACATACCTTCTTGTACCAGAGAGATAATTTTTATTTTATTAAACTTACTGCTGGCATGTTCGAATTTGATTAAAAATTTGACAATACGTATTTGAATGTCAGTTATCATGACAATAAAGCACAGACTACAGTGAATTTTTATGAATTCACAGAAATTGGGTGGACGAAATTCACTGTCCATCACTGTATTATTTGAAAATTTAGTTTTTGAAAAAAAAGTAAGTTTAGGTGTTATCGGCCGGGGCGACTTGGACCGAACATCCTATATGTCTATCCAAGCATAAAGAAAGCGTTTAAAAAAAATTCCAACGCCCCAGGATTTTTTTCCACCGATTTGTTTCATTTGACTAGGCTATTTGGATTTTTTTCTCTGGAGCGCGAGTTCTGAAACCGCCTGGATTAGTTTTTCAAAAATGATCAAATGTGTGTCTATCTGGTTGATAGTATTGCGATATTGCTGATTACGCTGACAGTCTGACAAGCCTCGCTGACTGGCAGTGGTAGGCAGACACACACAACTTGCTCAACCTAATTCTAAATTCTACTTTAGTTGCTGTGCGCACTGTGCAGGCAGCGTGTGATAGTGTGATAGGAGTTGGTGGATAAGCGGAGTGGTCGTGGTGTGCAAGTTTTACGTGTACAAGAGGTTCACGGACAGTCAAATATTGCATAAATTACCTACGTTTCGAATAAATAAATGGCTACGAAAGAGAATGAAAATGGTGTGAAAGGTTTCCAAATGCGGCAACAAGTCCACAGAACTAAATGGGAAACATTTAAAAATGCAATCTATAATCCTTCAACCAAAGAGTTTCTCGGAAGAACGGGAAAGAGCTGGGGTATAACTTGTTTTAAAGTCGTCTTGAATCACTTTTTTATTCATCTTCATTTTACACTTTGTGCACATGCTTTCTTCGATTTTTTGCATATTCACGTGAATACTTATTCGTTGCCGGGTTTGTAAACATATTTGAAATTAATATGTTTACTACTCTGGTGTGTTGTGTACATAGGTGAGTTATAAAGATTAATGGGATTGGTACCTGCGTGATACGATCTAATTTTAGAGTTCAAAACACCGCAGGTAAAGCGCCGAAAAATTCAAACGCTAAATTAAACAATGTAGTTTTTTATTGGGATTTTCCTGTGTTAATAATTCTAAAATTTATCAGGTGCTACAACAATTGAATTGCAAACGCGACTTATCACGTGTTTGAAACGTGCACTGTTAATTTTTTCAAATTCAAGCTAAATATCGGCCACTTTTCCTATGAATTTTTTTATTCATTGTATCAATATAACAGTTTTAATTTTTAAACTATTGCTATAATGAAAAATTATATTTCTGGTTTATTGTTTTTGCAAATATCATTTATCTTATTCGTATTATTTCTTACAAAGCTGTTACAAATCAAATAAATAATTAATTGTCGAAATTAAAAACAAAATTAATGTTAAAGAACTGCGACTGTTCTTCGGTTTTTCCAGTAAATTATTATTTAAAATTTTGGTGAATTTATTAACCATTTTATGCTTTAAATGAGTAATATTTAATTTAAAAATTTAAATCCAAAAAGGAAAAACACATTTTGACTTTGGCACAAAAATATATTTGCTTCGTTTCCTGCTTTGTCTTTTAAGCATTTATTTTGATTAATTCGATTACTTCTAAGTATAACTCTGAATATTTAGCGAATATTACATAATTTAAGACTTCCACTCCTGGCGACAGGTTTTTTTAAAGAATAAACAGGCGAACAGTAAACTGATTCATTTTATGTTAAACTTGTGTTGAATTTGACGTTATGATTTGAATAAATTATGAATAATTATGTAATATGGAAGCATTTATTGAGTCGAGTCGCTGCTACCTGCTACAGAGGTGTTTTATCTTTTTTTAGTATAAACAATTTGATAAATGAATACTTGTTTTAATATTAACTACATGAGATGATTGGAAATTAATAAAAAGTACTGTTGATCCTTTGTTTTGCTGTTATAATACATGATTTGTTAGAAAATTTCTACCTTTAAATTGTGTTTTCTTATGTACAAGATGTTTATAAAAGAACACTATAAATATCAAGAGTGTCGTGAAAATTACACGAACGTATGTCTTGGATAGTAATATCAATGCCTGTCATTTTTTGTTAAATTTATCAACTTCTAAACACCTGTCTTGCGTTACCTAACTATTGGTTAAAACCACTAATTTTTCCTAGTCAGAATTGACAACATTCCCTCTGTATTAGGTATTTCGTAAATGTTTTTGATATTTCAATTAATCTGTGTAAGACATACGTTCATGAAATTTTCACAATACTTACATTTTATGTACCTACGTTCTTTTATAAACACCCTGTTTATTAGAAAATCAAAATAAGTTTCTTAATGTACAAATTGATCGAAACAATACTTTCTGTCTTGTAGTTATCACAAGATGAGTCAAAGTTTTTGAAGAATTTTGTTTTTCACAAATTTTTATCATACTCTGAAGATGATGAATGTTGATTCACCTGATGCAACTAGAACTCATAACGTTTTTGTGTAAATACGCATAATAAGATTAATAAGAGATGATATTCTACTCCTTGTAACTATCAGTAGTTTTTTTCTCGCATTCTCGTATTATGTTAAAATTAAAAAGATTGTGCCGGGAATTAATTAATTATTTTTCGAAACAAAACTACCAAAAAAAGATGATAAGCACAAAAGGACAACAAAATTACAAGAGATTATCAAACAATAAAATGACATTTCTAGTGGCCTAAAATTTTGTAACTTGCAAACTTATAATTTATTAAGAAACTGCGGAAATGTTAATAACGGTTAAAATAAATCATTAATTGGAATGCCGAATTTTGCGTAAAAAAGGATATCCCGATCAAGCATAATTTAAAATGAATTAATATTAAGCCTAATTAGTAGTTGTTGTAACATAATCCAGTTTATTTATTCAATGTCAAATTCAATAAATATAATGGACGGCAAAATTATGGAATAATCTTATTTATTAAAACTGAAAATATTTTGTTTTGACAAAAATGCTCGAACAGGTCAATTTTTTTTTTAAACAATACAAAATTCTCAAGTTGATTTAAAATTGTATGTTTGTTTTTTGTTGATAAAAAAATATATTACTTTTTGGCGATTTTTTTCGAAAACTTTATGTAGGAATATTTAATATTTTGGTGTTGTTATTTCGGCAATTAAAAGATCTATTAAAATAAGGGTTTCTATTAAAAAAAAAATGTCGATGACGTCATTACTCAAAAACCAAAAAGTGTAAAATTTTACGTCAAGTTTAAAATTGTGTATTTTTTAAAAAGAAAATTGACCTGTTCGAGCTATTTTGCCAAAACAAAATATTTTCAGTTTTAATAAGATTATTCCACAAGTTTGGCTCCCACTGTATAAAAATCTATGTCTTTGGATTATTCAAGTGATTTTGAGAGAGTTTTTATTATTCTTTCCTTTAAATATTAGGTAGACTTTTTTGAATTTCTTGGATTTACACTTTCTTTTTTAAAAATTATTTTGAAATCGTATTTGGGTATATGAAGGAGAAAGGTTAGATCTTTTTGTTGGTGCACTCATAATTAAGAAACTAATTATCAAACCCCTAAAATTGTGTATTTCTTAAAAAGAGAATGGATCTGTTTGAGCATTTTTACCAAAACAAAATATTTTCAGTTTCAAGAAGATTATTCCATAATTTTGCCTCTCTCTGAAGAAAAAGGGGTGTTTTTTGATTATTCATGTGATTTTGAGAAAGTTTTTATCATCCTTTCCTATAAATATCACGACTTTTTTGAATTTCTTGGATTTGCGTTTTATTTTTCAAAAATCAATTACTGTGCCATATTTAATTATTTTGAAGTCGTATTTGGGTATATGAAGGAGAGAGGTTAGATCTTTTCTTTGGTGCATTCATAATTAAGAAAATAATTAACAAACCCCCAAAATTCAAGGTTACGTTTCGATAACTTCAAATACCTAAAACTCAGTTTTTTCTTTTTGACGTCATTACTCAAAAAAGTGTGAAATTTTAAATCAAGTTGAAAATTGTGTATTTTTTAAAAAGAGAATTGACCTGTTTCAGCATTTTTGCCAAAACAAAATATTTTCAGTTTTAATAAGATTATTCCATAAGTTTGCCGTTTAATTTGCAGGAAAGCAACATAGTCTTTTCAAAATCCTTCGCCAAAGCCAATATAAAATTTGGTCAGTATTTGGTAATTTAGAGTTTTTTAAGTATAATAAGAATTAAAAAAAATTCACATAACGATCTTACTCCACATTTTGAGTGCTTCGAACCAAGCGAAAGATTTTTTAAGCTATCTTTATTAAGGGGAGTGGCTCAGCGGTCCTAAACAATCGATAGAATCAAAGGGTGATGTAAATTAAGTTGTTAATATATTATTTAAGTGACAATTACTTTTTCTAGTAAAAAAAATCACCCTAACAGTGTCATAGAAGTTTATTCGAAAAGTTGTAGTGAAATGCATAAAGTTAAAAAAATCAACTAATTACATTGTTTGTTCTATAGCTATGTTATTAATAGTCAATTACTTAGTATGTATTTAATGGAAGTAAAGCAATAAAAATTATATGTAATAGGAATGGGATGATACAATCAGTAGAATAGTTTCGTGAAAAATAAAAAAATTAATTTGTGTGTATTTTCTTGTGGAAAATTACAAGTACCGGGTAATCGATTACCTCTCACCACCACATGCATCTTCTATATTTGTTTTATTGTTCATGCTAACTTCTTTAATTCGAGTAGCAAGCATTTATTGTCTTTGCTCCTTATCGATTTTGTTTTGTAATATGATTATTTTCATTTGATGTATGAGCAATTGTTATTATTATCATGTTTTCACTTTTCATGTGTGTTTTTCCAAGTGCTTGTACACAATTACACATTTTACCCCCGATTTATTTCTACTTGATTTGTTATGACAGATTTTTTCTGTTGATGACACTATAATACAAAAAAAATGCAGAACAGCGTCTTTAATGCATAATATTGGTCGTTAAAAGATTCGATTGGAGACGTAAAACATGAAAAGGTTTACAGACTAACGGGAAAGTTCCGAATGAAACTAGTGCAAACCGAATTATTAATACCTGCTTACGTAGAATCCCGTATTTTTAGCTGAGGGTAAAATATACTTAAAAGGTCTTTTGTCGTCTCTTTATTACTGTGGCGTTGTGTTTGATGTCAACATATTATTTTACTCTGTTTAGCAATGAATGTAAGAATTTTATTACAACCCTCTTTAGAAGAGATCGATAAGAGTAAAGACTGCTCTTGTCACATTTTTAACATGTTTGTACTGATAGCTAAATAGGATGTGGCACATTTCTGATAAAGAGCCGAGCCATTTTTTCTCGTTTGGTATTTCTAGATGAATCTGAGAAATTTCTAATTATGCAAATAACTCATCATACAAAAATATTTAAACGGAAACGTGTTTATGCTCTTCATAATATATTTATGTTATTTATAGATGTGGGTCGTATTTGCCATGTGTTGAGAGGGCTAGGTTTTTTCAATGTTAGATTATACCAAAAAAGCAATTGCACAGCTGCTCAATTAAAATGGAAATTTTTCAAAGGTTTCAGTCTATTTATTGTAAGTCTACACTACCGAATAAAACTATTAATAGGAAATACTTTGGAAAGCAGATTATCTATTTTAAGAATCGATTCATATCCGAAGGCTCTCTGTAGCATATGTTTGCAATTCTATTGGAATTTGTCCTAAAACTAGAAAAAAATTGAGCCTTCTATAGATTCTATAATGTTTAAAAAATATCCCAAAAATTTATTCATTTTACGTCAGTGACACTGCAAGTCTGGAAATTTTTGCAAAAATTGAGTTTTATTGTTTTTTTTTTCTATTTTGTGTCTGAAAGAAAGCTTATTTCGATACCATCAAAACCGATGCTTTAATGAGCCATTTCAACACCGATTCGGGTGCTGAAAGACTAGTACAATTTACTTTCTACAGGTTGGTAATGGTAATTGTTAGCGGCGTTTTGAGCGATATCTCTTTCTTCAGGTGGTGTGCATGAAATATTTGCAGTATTCATTGTTAATTCAATACAATTTTGAAAAATACTCGAGACTTGCCACTTTAAAAATCTAACTTTTAAACTTTGTGACATTTATTACCAACCTTAGAGCAAAAGTTTATATATTTTAAAAATTTGACTTTTATGTTAAAAAAGTACGTAAAACGCGCAAAATAGAAAAAATAGTATAAACCTGAACTTGTTTTACAAAACTTGCCTTACGAAACGCGTTCTATAATATACAATTTTTTGTTTCAGGACAACTTTTGACATTCTATTTTATATTTTACGTGGTCTTGGCAGCGTTGTTTGCCATTTGTATGCAAGCCTTATTGGCAACTCTCGACGATAAAGAGCCCAAATGGCAGTTGGAGAGAAGTTTGATTGGCACAAATCCAGGTTTAGGGTTCAGACCTATATCTGAGAGGACCGAGGAAGGTTCTTTGATTTGGTACGACCAGAAAAATGAAACTGCAATTAATAAATGGGTGAAACTCATCGATAAATTCTTAGATCGTAATTTCAACACAATGATTGTTAACAATTCATAAAAACGTTATTTTGTAGCGTATCTAAAGGAACAGAATGGCAAAAACTTCGAAAGATGCGACTTTGATAAACCTGCCAATGACAGTAAAGTCTGTGAAGTGAATTTGGACAAGTATGGTGATTGTTCGAGGGAGAATTCGTACGGGTATAATAGTTCCTCACCTTGTGTTTTCCTGAAACTGAATAAAGTTAGTCCAATTGTGAAATTTCCAACCACTATATCAATTTTTTTTTAGATATTTGGTTGGGTACCAGAGTACTACACGAATGCTACTGATGAAATGCGAAAGTATGATGCAGATTTCGCCAAATTTGTGGAAACCGTATGTAAAAAATAATAATCGTTGCTTTTTATTAATTTTTATTTCAGAATGGAGCTGATCACCAGGTTTGGGTCAGCTGTCAGGGCGAAAAACCGGTCGATAAGGAGAACACTGGAGGGTTTAGGTACTTCCCAAGCCAGGGTTTCCCTTCGTATTATTTTCCATATAAAAACGTGAAAAATTATTTGAGTCCTTTGGTTGCAGTGCAAGTTTTAAATACTGCACGTAAGTTGGTTTATTACATAACTGTTACGACCAGAAAGTCATCACGTTTTAATTTCAGCCAATGTTATCATCAGTATAGAGTGTCGAGCTTGGGCCAAAAATATCAAATACAGTAGCAGCAATTTACAACGAGAGGGATCAGTCCGTTTTGAGATTTTACGAGATTAATGTTTGTGTTTGGAATGATAGTTTGGCGTAGTACTTATTTGTTTTTTTAACATTATTTTGTTTACGTTTCTTTTATGTAATTGATAAAATTGAGTTCTGGTTATGCTTTATCTGTTGATCAATGTTTTCTGTTTTGTGTTTTTGTTGAAAACAATAATTTAAAAATCTGTACTTATCTTTTAAGTTATTTAAATAATAATATGGACGCTTTAGAACGATTCGCTTTAACTGAAATAAAGATATCTTTAGCCAGTGCGCAGTGCCTTGTGGTAAATCAATCTATTTTTTTAGATATAAACTAGTTTTTTATTTTAAGTACAAAAACGTAACAGTGCATCTTATTTTTGTAACCACAGCGATATTATAAATCGAATCTCTTTGTTTATTTTCTTATTGTGATGTTTTATTTTGTGCTCATTACAGCGGTATGTAGTTAATTTTTTTGTAGTTTTTAAGTTTGTAGTACTACTAAGTGAATTGATTGTATTAATAATAAGTGGTTAGACGTTTTTTATGTACAAACAGTTTTGCCATATGCAGAAGAGTTTTATTGTAGTTTTAATAGAAAATGCCTTAATAAAATTTTGAATCCGAATGAGTGTTTAATCTCTTTTTAACATGAGGACTGAAAACGAATTAAAACATTTTTTTTGTAACGACTAATGAGATTTTTAATCTCAAAATTCCATGAGGTTTCCCCTCCTCATTCCTAGAACCTTATCGTACAGTGCTTCACTGTTGGAAAACAATAATTAAGAATAAGTTTCTAAACAGTTCAAAATGTCTTCGGAATTATCAGAAGACGAGTATAATTACACGAACTACAATTTAGAGTTCTATGAAGAGGATGAGGGCCCCCCTTTGGTAAACCTAACCAAAAACTATCATAACCCCAAATAATTTAAAAAAAATTTTAGATTAAAAAAAGATCGCGTCTAATTGCTGCAGTCGTTCAAAACAATGTAGACGTTCTTCGGGATTTATTAGATTCCCCTAAATGGTACACTGTTAGGGACAAAATGGGTTATAATTTGCTACAAATTGCAATTTTACAAGAGAGGTAGCTTTTTTTTTAGTTTTGTTTAGTTGTTTAAAATTGTTTTTCAGACGGGAAGTGTTTGACTACATGTTATCACTTCCAGATTTTCCCTTTGATGCTCTCAATAGACATGATGAAACTGCGTTAGATGTTGCAGTAACTGGTTTTGTGAGCAATGATATATGGGTTGAAGGATATTTTGCTCGCGAACTAGTAAAAAAAGGGGTATTTTATACACAACAAGACAATTTATTGTTACAAAACGCTATTGAGAGATCCTTTACTGAAGTTGCAAAGTTGTTAATTGAGAAAGGAGTTGATGTTAATGCTTTTGATGAGGAAGGGAACACACCACTGCAAAATGCCGTTTGGGAGAATAATGCTGAAATAGTTACTATGTTATTAATATATGGTGCTGATCCATTCGTCTCAAGTTCTTCAGGATATACTCTTTTTGAACAATGTAGTCCAGAGTTACAAGAAGTATTATTTTATTACATATATGATCGATATTCGAATTTAGAAATTCACTTAGAAGTATTATTGTCACTTGCTAAAACTAATCAGTTTCTATTTGATGAAGTACATAAAACTTTCAATATTAACAGAAGTAAATGTGATGCTCGTATTTGTTTTGAAACGTTGTGCCTTATGGATACTGAATCTTTAAAATTAGTTTTGTCAAAGTTTAGTCATTACATTAAAGAAGTCTTTTCACTACCGTTTCGGGGAAAAATAATACTTTATAATATTAACCATGAGTGGCCTTTAGAAAATTTACAATTGTTACTTGAAGGTGACTTGAGAGACGACTTCATAAATTTTATTAACACTTTAGATAGTTCTCCACTTTTGGAACGATTGATTAACCACAAAAAATCTGAATTTGAAATTAGTGAAATTCTGTGTTTTTTATTAAGCTACGGCCTTGAGATTGTTCGAAATGACCTCCATTTAATTTATTCCGAATTTGGATATTGCAATTTGTTCAAAATTCTTTTACATATGGATATTTTTGAAACATGTGATTATGTCGCTCAAATTATGCCGTTATTTATCTATGATGTAACATCAAGTCTTGAAGATTATCTAGATTTCTTTGAATCAAAGGAACCGTCTCATTTTTCTGAACTTTGCTCTTATTTTTGTCATCCGACTCTGATTGAAAAATGTGAACGTGCAATTGCTGATGGAGAACTAGAGCCCAAAACGTTTCAGCAAATACCCCTTCTTGTTGAGTTGGCTAGAAACACATTTCGAAAATTTTTTGTCAAGAAATTTCAAATCAAAACATCTAGGAGGTTTTATTCGCTCTTGAACTGCTTGCCTATTAGTACCGTGCATAAGAAGATTATTACTTATGAAACAAAACTATATTAATTCTATTTTTGTATGTTAATATTTTTGAATAAATTATTTTGTTTATTAGTTGACTTTTTAATTTTTATTAAGGCTAGGTATTGGTCATGACTTCAATCTTCTGTAGTTTTATCGCACAACTTTACCAGACAACACATCAGTTAGCTCTTACAATACAACATGCGTTTGAGAAAGAGAAATGTATCAAATAAAATTATTTCTTAGTTTTGGATTTACTTAGTTGATAATGGAGCTACAATTATATTTTTTTTGTATTTAAGTAATAATCTATACTTTTTGGGAAAGTTAACTATTTATAAAGAAAAAAAACTTTAAATAGAGAAGCCTAAGTATTCCAGCCGTAAAATTAGTGTCCAATTTGTACAAATTTTTTCACATTTATTGTGACTGATGTAAATAAAACATTAAAATTATTTCTTAAAGGACAGTTTTTGTTCTCTCCTGCAAAAATGCAAATTTGGACAAACTGCTTTTTGAAAGTCTGCTCCTCAAATCTAAAACTGAAAATTTTACATTATAAATAGAATATCAAAATTATTCTTGCACCAAAAACTAATTTGAGCTATTAGCTTCATTTCATCTCGGTTATGTAGGTGTCTATCTTTTAAAATAAAAAAAAAATCCTCCCATTTCACTACACAAACATGACACGTTACAAGACAACTGTTATTTCTCAGTTTTCTTTTGTAAAGAATAGTCTTGAGTATGTACGTACACAAGCTATAGAGTGAGAACCTACATTCATTGAGGAATATTTTGAAGTTTCTATTTTTATCTAGAAAGACGGTATGAGGATGGAAACCCAAAAATTTCCCAATTATATGTATGTATGATTTTTTAAAGTTATACATATCATTTCTTTATTTTAACCAACTTAACTATGTTAATTTTAATAATATCTAAAAAAGTCAAAAGGACATTTTTATGTAAAATTTTATTTAGAATTATTTTTCCTAGCTCTTGCCTATTTCAATAATCTTGAAAAAACACCTTATTAAAAAAATAACTGTTTCTTGGGGGTTGAAAAACAAATTTCTTTTAGTTAACGTGTTTTACAATAATTTATTTCAAAAATTCAAGTATATCATCTAAAATTTGATTTGAAGGCTTATTTGACTGGACTATACTATCTATATTAGTATTGTAGGGATGTGGTGTGATTGTTGGTATAAATAAAACACGTTGTACTAGTACATAAAATATAATTGATTTATTTATTTATTTATATCTGTATTTATATTTTTTATACCTATAATATATTAATATATCTCTGTCGACTGTGCAGGAAGTAGCACATATACAAACCCAATTTTAGCCAACTTTAAACAATAAAAGATTAGATTGTAATATACTTAATAGATTAACATTAGAGTTATATAATTTCATTAACCTATATGCTGTATTATGTAAGTATATATATTTAAAATTTTTATAGGTACAGACTTTCCAGCCACTTAAAAATTCATTTAGTTAATCCTGCTTCATAAATACATACAATATGTGTACGGGTTTGCTTTACTATACACATGACTGGAATAACAACACATAATATATCAAACTACAGGTCATCTGCGACGGTTTTGACCGCCGTTAGACATCACATCGTTAATTAAATTGGATAGCACCACGCCAAGTACGGAAACACGTATAAAAATACCAAAACTTACGCTTTGGTCCTCTAATTATAATAAGCCCTGTTTAATAATACTTTATATTCCACTTTTCGTTAGCCAAACGGCAGGGTAGTATCGCTTAGTTTAAGTTTGTTTGTTTGGAGTGAGCAAAGCGACCACACATCAATTGCACTTAGAGAAACGACATAATCCATATCGAAATGATAATTCCTATAATTGTTACCACGATGGCAACGACAAGGGGCGTATTTAGAACTGTCTTTAAGCGGTGCAAAATTGACGTCAGTGCAGTCCGGTGGCTTCGGTGGGAGTGAGTCGGTGAGCTGGGATTCGTCGAGATTTTTGATACTACAGTCGGTTCGGCAATCATTGTCGAAAAGTGCAAGAGAGGCGAAGAGGGGCCCACGAGGTCGCCGCTGGCCGTTAGTCTAATTGGACATACGCGAGCGCTGTACTCGACACCCGGTTCCAAATTTTCGATAGAACACTTCGACTCAGCGCCCCTGTATGTCTGGAACAAATCAATTAAATAAATGAAAAAGTCTCCTCTACGGATATCTAAAGACTAGGATACGACACGATGTAGTTTCTTTTCCGTCTAAGTTTTAAGAGCAATGAAATAAAAAAAAATGGTTGTATTTACATAATCGTGAGCAAAACACAAACAAAAAAATTATAGGCAGATGTAGCATTCAATTTTCTCAATAAGAGATAAAGGTAATGCAAACATTTTATTGAAAACTATATTAAAAAAAATTTCAAACATATACCAATTTGCGCCCCGTCATATTTTTCCAAATGCTGCAAATACGATTGAAGATACAAGAAAAATGTAAGAAAAAAAGTTGTAGAGAATCAAATTTTCAAGAAAAAAGTCCCCGAGACGATACCTCTATCTTCAACGGTTTAGGCCCTAAAGACGTTCAAAGACGCTCAAGCGAAAAATACGTGTCATTTTTACTGGTGGTCAAGAACTTGAAAATCAATTTGAACCTAAACGGTTGAAGATAGAGATATGGTCTCGCGCAGTTTTTTTGTAGAGAATTTAATTCTATACAACTTTGTTCCCTACACTTTTTTTGTATCTTCAACCGTATTCACAACGTTCTCAAAAAATATCGAAAATTAAAAATAAATTATAAACAATTATCAATTTGCGTTCCGCCTAATATTTTTGAGAACGCTGCGAAAACAGTTAAAGATTCAAAAAAGTGTAAAAAACAAAATTGTAGAGAATAAAATTTGCTCCAAAAAAGTCCGCGCCACCATATTTCTACCTTCAACGGTTTAAGTTTAATTTGCTTTAAAGTGTTCCCCCGGCACTCAATCACCAGTAAAAATGAAACGAATCCGCCGTTTGAGCAGCTTTGAGGCCTAAACCATTAAATATAGAGATAGGGTCTCGTGGACCTTCTACTAGGAAATTTTATTCTCTACAACTTTCTTTCTTGCATTTTTCTTGTACATACCTTTAACCATAGGTATTTGCAGCATTTAAAAAAAATTAAACGGGCCACAGATTTTAAATAAATTTTTTTTTCATATGTCGCGTGAAAAATTTAGTGGTTCGTTTCTCATAGCTTAAAAATGTAAAGCTCAACATTTTTGCATTTTATTCCAAGCAATTAGTAAACTGGTTGAATTTAAATTAATTTAAAACGATTTGAAACTGAGACGATAAAACACTACTCTGCCGTATTACTTTTTTTTTGGGCCAAAAAAAAGTCGAGTGATTTTGTATCTCGTCTTGTCTCCTAGTATATACAGGATGTGTCAGAACTCACGCCCCAGAGAAAAATTTCAGGTAAGATAAGATACCAGGATCATGGAAAAAATGTTAAAAAAATTCTCTGTCAAAAAATTTTGAAATTTCATGTCTATTTAATGATACTCATGATCTTGTGTATGTTTTTTTTATAATTATTTAGTTAAGGTACAAAAATTTTGCCAATAAAAGCCACAAATACCATTAAACAGAATTACAATTTAGGTTCCTCCTTCGAAATTTTTATAGGTAGAACTTTTTAACATTTTTTCCATGTTTTTGGTGTTTCACCTTACATTTTTCTGTGGGGCGCGAGTTCTGGCGCACCCCGTAGAGTTATCCCTAGTTTCTTCTCAAACTATTACCTCTTTGAAAAACTGGTCCTTTACCCTGGCCACCTGTACTTGGAAAATGACAGGATCCACGAATTGATTTTTAGAGGGCATCCATTCGATCATACAACTCGTTTGATCGACTTCGATCAATTTCGGTTGCTTGATTACTGCAGGCGGTGCTATACTTGTTGTAAATTCATAAATATTGGAAAAATCACCCACACCAGCATCGTTCGATGCGCAAATCCTAAACCTATATGTTGTTACTTCTTGCAATTTATTAACTTTGTATGTGAGAGCTGTCCCTTTATAGACGCATTGGAAATCGTGTGTGCGTCCGTTTTCCATTTCGATCAAATAGTGTGTGTAGTCGACGTTTTTACCGTCGCCCCATTTCAATTTGAGATAGTTGTGTCCGATGCCAATGCATTCAAGTTTAGGAGCTGCTGGTGGTAGTTTGAGTGTCGATACTTTAAGCGTGGAGGAAAGAGAGCCGCTGCCGATGGCATTCACCGCCTGGATTTTGATTTTGTAGGTGATCTCTGGTTGGAGATTGACAATTTGATACTCTCTCACGGGACCATCAGTAACGATGAGTTTATCACCGAACTCGATATTGTAGTGGGTGATTTCTGAACCGTTATTGGAGGGTTCGTTCCAGTTGAGCGTTATTGACGTTGGGGTGGATTCGCTCCGGAGGGTCGTTACGGTGGAAGGGGGCGCTGCGGGAGTCACCGTCGCGGTGACGGGGGAGTACGGACTGCAACCTAATAAAACAAGAAAATTTAACACTTTAAAATGACCACATTTTTTCATTTTTTATCCTTTTAAAAATGCCCCGAAGTTGCCCATTATTCAAATTACCAATATATAGGGTGTCCCAAGTTTTAGGGCCGGCGCAAAAATTAATATTTCTTACTGATTAAATTTTTTTTTGCTAGTGCAAACGATAGAGGATCATATAAACTTGGAATCTTTTCTACATGATAAAATTCCCTAAAAATTTTGTTTTATACAATTAAAAACGGTAATAATAAAGGGCCAACGGTCAAAATTTACTCTAATTATTTATTCTAAAACCAAGGCCGATACAAAAGTTTTATAAAATACGGGGTGATTTTTTTTGGAATCGGTAGGCCCTGTAGAATTTCAATTTATGACCCGATTTTATAAATTAAAAAAATCAATTTAATGGTTTTTAATATTGGTGTCAAATAAGATAATGCCGTTATTGTAACGTCAAGAACCACCAAATGAAAGAAAATATTGCCAATATATTGACAAATTTTTTATAAGAAATGACAATAATAATTAGTAATTACTTATAACAAATCAGAAAAACATCTAATTTAGTGTGATTCATTTATTTTATTATTATTTATTTAATATTTTTGTTTACTTTTAGTAAGATTAACGACAATTTTTTTATTGACACCATAACTAGATTTTATTAACTTTTATATTTTTTTTTAATTTTGATAATTTTTTTAAACAAAAATTTTTAGTAAAAATCGAACATATTGCACATGTACCAAGAAAACTACTTTTTCTTTCAAATCATAAAAAAAATAGAAATTTCGGTCCCTATTTAAAAGAAAGTTGACTAAAGTCCAAAATATGCTGACATTTAGAAAAATTCTAAAATTGGCTCTATTAAAAGACATTTAATTTAGTTTTTTTTCATTTTTGATATCGGGCCACAAATAACAATTTTACAGCGCCTGCCGTTTTTTAAAAAACACCTTGTATAAAAGTTGTTTAAAAACAATGGGCCCTTTGAATAAAAAAAAATACGGCACTCGGATTACGTATAACAAAAATATGGCTTAAAATGTGTTTTTGATATCAAATTGTGTTTATCAAGTTTTATAAAAATCGACTACTCTATTAAAAAATAAAAAGTTATTAAAGAAAAACGAACTTGGCGCCTTCTAACTTGTAAATGTTGCAACTTGGTATAGAGATAAGTCGGGTTAAATCGCTTTATTTTGACCTGGACAAGTTCAGGTTACTCTTTGTCCCTATCTTTTCGTTACACCCTGTTGCATAATTCTTTACGTTTTTCATATGTAGGTCAAGAAAATACCATCATAGTAAACATTGTTTGATAACGAACTGATAAATGATTGCATGTTGATTTTATGTATTTTCCAAATAGTAAAAACTCAAACTCTATCAACAGTTAACTTTAAAAATGAAATGAGTTTTACTCAAGTTTACAAGTCCAGAGAGATAACATCGTCTATTCTTATCAAGAGTTGCCATTTACGTCAATAATTCCCACTGTTTACAGTGAAATTATCAGTGGGGAATTACTTTTCCCATACGTGATTCCCCTGAATGATGAAACAAACTTGTTTACTGTTACTAACCGGCAGAGTTGCAGGCTTGCACTCGGAAGTAATACGTCGTGAAGGGGTTCAGTCCCTTGACGTCATGGTAATTTTCAGCTCCTTGATAAACTAAATGGAAGTCATTCATACTTGTGCTAATTTCTAATCTATAGTCTAGAATGGGCGCTCCGTTAGACGGCGGCTCTTGCCATTCGACGAATATCTGGAATGGTGATTTGCAATTGGTCGTGAGCGTCGAGACGACATCTGGCGGAGCTGCTCCGCTGGTAACTTTCAATGGATCCGACCACAGTCCGGGCCCTATCCTGTTGACGGCCCTCACGAAGAACTCGTACTCACAGCCTGGAGTGAGATTCGCGGCCGTGCATTCCGTCTCTTTGCTTTTGTGAACTAGATTTCGTGTGTGGTCAGGCGGGCCCGCCATCTCCACCTCGTACTCCAGGACCGGCGCCCCTCCGTTGTAGTCGGGCTCGCACCATCTGATCGTGATGCTGTTCGATTTCGGCTTGCCGTGCAGACGGGGGGCGGCGCACTGCCCGGGGGCGATGGCGTCCGTCGTCACAGTACACGGGTTTGAGTAGTTGCTACGGCCGCCGGCACTGATGCAGCTCGCGCGCAACTGGTAGGTGGTGCCGGGGGTTAGTTTATCACAGACTGCTTCCGTTTCCGTTCCGGTGTAGACGACCTCGTAGCCGCTACCGGAGTTCACCTGAAACGACGAGTTTAGACAAAAATTACACTTCATTTCATAAACTTATCCCGATCAACCATACAAATTCAGAAATACGTCCATATTGCTATCTTCTTTTACATTATAAGAAGGCATGCGATAAATAAAGAACGTACAATCAGCGTAGAAAAGATTGTCCTCCTAATAAACAGCTCGGACCCTTAGAGGTTGAACCCATAAACCACAATAATAAATCTTTTCCAGTGTACAGTGCGATCAAAAAGTCTTTCTATCAAGTAGGCGTCCTAGTTGAGGACGTATGTTGCATGGTAGTTTGTATGTTATCTAGATGTCAAAAAAATTATTTCATAAAAATTAAAACATTGAGCTAATTAAATTGAATTATTCTATAAAACGTCTCAAAACAAACTAAAATGAGATTTTGTTGGTGTTTATTCATAAAAATCATTCACGGTTTCCTGTAATAATTTACATAAAAAATATTTTGACATTTCTCATTTGTCATTGTGTCATTTTAACTTCCACAGACATACGTTTTAAATTTCTACGCTTGCTTGATAGACAGACTTTTTGATTTCACTGTAGAAACAATATTATTATTAAAAATACCTAATAAAAACCATCTATTAAAAATTAAAAACTAAAAATTAAAGTGACCAAATGAGACTATTTAATATAACTTTTTAAAATATTGATACTTTTTTTTTAAAGTCAATGACAAATTAAATAATTTCATTATTAATTTTTATTCAATTCAAACAGGTAGACGTGCTAACTCTCTTGAACTCGTGGCAACCTTTACAAAAAAGGAATATTTAAATTGAACTATTGAGATGTTTGCAACCAAGATATTGCAATCGCAAAGCAATTGTAACAAGTTTACGACTTTGTTTTTGTTAATAATTGTTCAGTTCAGTTATTTTATTAAAAGTAAATTAATCAACTTTTATTTTTATGTATTAAAAAAAAATCATAGTCTTTGGAAAACTGTCTACCCTATTAATAAACAAATTATTACCAAAAAATTACTTTTTTATTATATCTGCATCATAATCCTAAATGAAGACACGCTGCAGCGTGCGTAATTTGGCCTTTATAGCAGGCTGAATTTTAAAGTTGTCTAGGTAACAAGAAATAGTGAAATGTCTGGACCAATTACAAGGTGAAAAAGTGTGCTTAACAACGTAAACTAGTAACCGTTTCTACGAAAACGATTCACAAACAACCTTTGATAATTTTATTGTGTAAATTCACATTTTTTCAATGCTCATAAAAGATCGTAAATGGGCAGGAATAATAAAAAATAGCGTATAACACTCATTGATAAACGCCTTTAAAACTCATACGACGTTAAAAGCACTCCGCTGACGCGTCGTGCTCTTAAACCCGTCGTGCGTGTTTTAAAGGCTTGCTTATAAACCAGTATTATAATATACTATTAAATTTATAATACAATAATATTTGCTAATTAATTTTAAATACGAATAAAACAAACACTGTTGTAGTAAGAAAATAATAAATAATCTACTTTTTTTTAATGTTATCTTCTGTTTACTATGGTAAAATTAAATTGTCAAATATTTATAAAAACGATGTGTTTGTTGTCAAAATTTGTTTGGATTGAATAAAAATGATATGAAATTATTTAATTAGTCAATTGCAATACTTGTTTCCATATAAAAAGAATTAAGCTGTCAATAAATTAAAGAGTTATGTTACATTGTATCTGGTTAGATTTGTTATTTTAATTCCTAATAATAAATGGTTTTTATTAGGTATTACTAATAATAATAATATTGTTTATTTAATTATGCCATTTAAAACAGCATTTTCTTGTTATCTTAGTAAATAAATAACTAATTAAACATTAATTAAAATTATTTTAATTTAATTTTTTGTTGCGATATAGTTGTGAATTTTTGAAAATATTTTTTTATTTACTCAACTAAAAGTAAAATCGGTAACTGAGCTTCACTTCAAACTGAAGATACTGTTAAAAATGAAATGACGTTTACAATGAAAAAGATTTATTTATTGTTGTGGTTTATGCCTCTAAGGGTCCGGGCGGTTTATTAGGAGAACAATCTTTTCTACGCTGATTGTACCCTATTAAGAGTGTCACAATTTCTATCTTCTTTTAGCTAACGCAAATAACAAAGACGAGGCTTGTTTATTATGTCTAGTATTAGATGATTCTTCGTTTGTTGCCAACATTTGAAATAAGAAAGTACCAAATCGGGAGCACAAGTTGAACTACATATTCTCTATCAAAATGTACTCAATTCGTGTAATAATTAATACTTGGTTGTTAATATTCTGCATTTTAAGGTTTTTTTAAAATTTAACTTTGTTTTACTTGCTGTTCTGTAACATGTCAAATTCACACGAAGCTATACGTCGTAGATTGGATTTTACTCTACAAGTTTTAAGGCAAATCGGGATAAGCTGATGAAATAAATAATAAACTGTAGTAATCTTTGTAAAAATTACCTCGAGGATGTACTCGGTGATGTCGGCGCCGCCGGTGTAATTCGGCGGCTCCCATTTCAGTTTGAATGAGTGTGCGTGGATCCGGCCCTTGACGACTGGCTTCGAGGGCTCCCTCGGACGATCGGGCAAGGTCTTGTAAGTCACCTCGTCCGACCACGGCGATTGTCCTCCGTCATTCTCCGCCCTTAACCGGAACTTATATTCCGTAAAATTACTCAAACCCGTACAAATACAAATCGTTTCTCTTCCGTTGTAAACCGGCCGATAGCTAGTCCTCGAGTCGTTCATTTGAAGCGTAAACTCCTCATCGCTTGGCCTTTTGCTCCACTGCAAGTGGAGATAATTGATTGAGGCCTCGGCTAGTACCGGAGGCGGCGGTTTCGTCGGCGGATTATTACAAGTATTATAAGTGACCACTTCCGAGTAACTACTCTTCCCTATCTCGTTCACTGCCGCCAACCTGAACTTGTATGGGGTCGCCGGTTGCAACTTATGTATCGTGTACTGTTTCACCCTTCCTCGGTGAAATTCCACAAAGTCGCCCCCTTTGCCCTCGTCATACTCCAGAATGTAGTTCGTGATATGCGAGCCGTTGTCGTTGACGCTGTTCCACTTCAATTGGAGCGACGTTTTCTGGCGTTGGTGCAGTTTGGGAGGTTGGGGTTGGTCGGGCTCGCACGGAGGGGTGGTGAACTTAACGGGGTCAGTGGCGGCACCTTGGAGTTCGTCGTAGTGCACTTGGAGACAAACGGAGTACTCCTGGCCCGGTTTCAGGTCCCGGATGCGACATGATAGTGAAGTGCCGTTGTATATTGACTTAAATTTCATTTCTTTGCTCTTATCACTAAGTAATACTTCGTAACGTAAATCACCGACGTCGATCTCGGGGCCGTCCGTGCTTGAAGCTTCGGAGAGTTTCGTGGGCGGCGCCCACAGCAATAAGGCACTTCGGGAACTCAGTTCAGATACCTGCAATCAATAAAAAACATAAAATTCCATTTAAATTTTTAATTGAATTTTGTTAATTTTGTAGAATAAAACACAAAACAAATTGTGAAACCATTTTTTGTCTATTTCAGCGGTTAATTTTATTTCGTTATCGCTTAAAAACTGATTAGAAGACCGACCTTTGGAGCCTGGACGGACGACAAAATATCAGCAATGATTTGAACGGAATCTTCTTCGTCCGGAATACTGCTTTCCTCACCATCCTCTGACGTTCCTACACTGTTCATGTCTTTATCTTTGGCTGACGGCCTCCTCAATCCATTCACCAAATCCTTTTGCATACTGTCTAATTTCTGTTTATCTTGATGCTTTTTTTTCAGTTTTATATATTGTCGTTTGGCTCGTTCGTCCTTGTAATAAATTTGATTTAAAGGTGGGGAATGTCCGAGACGAGTGGGACTTGGTCCTGGATGACCTGGCGGGATATTCGAATGGAAATGTGAGGCTGGAAAACCCGTCGGCAGGCCTTGATAGAACGCTTGTTGCGGCTGATTTGTGCTATTCCCTGGACCGGCACCCTAAAAAATATGTATTTTTTCAATGGTCATTATTTTTTTCGCACACATATGGTTGCAGATTATTACAGTTTAAATTGCTTTTATCACTTCATTTCTTGTTAATACTTCTGTGAACATATGTACGATAAGTGTGTTTACAATTTCGTGTAACTATTAGTTATTGCTTTTGATCAATGAGTTTTTAGTTAATTATCAAAAGCAATAAATAATTGTTTAATAAAAAATACAAAAGGAAACGAGTTACCTCCCCATTTGCGACATGATTTTCTTCATTTTTTTCGTTGGTCATTGCGCCGCGATTCAAAATATGTGCACATTTATACACGTATGCAGCACAAATAAATACACGTAGGTTACGATCGTTGGTATTCTACGTCATTCATAAATAGCGAAACGTGGATATGATAAGACGCTGCAGTTTCCACTTTTCTACAGTTACTAACCGCGATGTTTAATAAACTCAGGCCATTTACGACGGAACGTAAAGATAATATTTTGATAAAAATTAAGAGAGATAAACAATACTAAAAAGTCAATCAATTTGACCAAATTTGATTACAACATAAGGAATTCCGACGAAAGATAATTGCTTATTTAAAATAATAAACAATTCTCTTAACCGTTCATGTATTGAATTTTTTCTTATGAAAGAGTGTTTTATAAATAAAAGTGAACATGATAAGAAGGCAGCAACACTGGGATATTTACGGTTACATATAATAAACAACGAAATTTACACCACCACACTAGTAATACTATCAACCTTATCTGCCATCTGCACTGCTAGATAAATAAGTATAAGTGCTATATAGTATGTCTCTGGATAATGACTTCCGCATTACTCATTTGTAACATATCAACAATTACACCAACATTAAAAAAATATTATTTATTCCGGAAATTGTAAAAAATGCTTTTCGCGCTTTGTGGTTTATACACATTACATAATTATAAAGATAAAAAAAAATATTTTGCTTCATTTTGACTAAAGGGGAAAACCAAAAGTCGATTATCGAATATAAATCATTGGTGATCAAACGTAATTATAAACAATAACTTAGATAATTTAATTATTGACTTAATAATACAATTTATTGTCTATCGCATGTCAGGATTAACTCTATTAAAGATCACCTTCAACTGTTTTTATTAAACTGTACAGTTGGAATAAATAAAAATGTTCACACAATCTTGTTGAACAATAATTTCTATTTGAATTAATTTTTATCAAAAGAACATTTAATTAATTTCTTAGAACAACTATAGTGTGTCCCCGGATAGGTGAAACAACTCTTGTAAAAGATAAAAAATTCTCGATTTTAATTTTCATAATTTCATAATTTTAGTTTTGAAAAATTTTATGACAAATACCACAAAAAGTGATTGGGAAAAGTTGTTTATAATCAACATTAGGCCCCTATATCAAATTTCAAAATTATCGGCCAACTATAATTTTTCTTTTTTTTTCCAAGATAGTTGCTTTTTAGTAACAACTATGTTAAATAGTTATTTATCTACGACCCTTAAATAATAGGTTAGTTATTTACGTAACGTACATTATACTTATAAATTATTACACCCATGACTTATCACAAGTCACTAGTGACTTCTTATGACAAACCACGGATCTGTCATTATTGTGTGTGTGTAAGCTCTTATACCAAAAAAAAACAACTGTGATTTTTATTTTTTTTAAAACGTAAAAATATAAAAATTGTAAAAACATAAAAAAAATGAAAATTACAGTTGGCCGAAGATTTTGAAATGCGGTATATCTTAATAACTCTTAATAATAATAACAAATTAATAATAAATAAATAATAAATTAATTTTAATAATAATATCTTAATACATTACAAATTTTGAAAAATTGGATAATCTTCTTTAGTTTGTTCAACCTTTCAAAAAGTGCAACTTTTTTAGTTAGTTAGTGATTAAGATAGATAAACTAGAGTCATATTCATGTCGTCTCTTGATAGAACAAATGATAATTGTTTCTGAAAAACTACAGTTTATGACTATTAATGAAACAGTGATTAGTTTGACAACTACTGTCATGGGTTTCCAAAAATTAAATAATTAAATGTGTATTTTTTGTATCTAGCGTTTCGTGAATTTTGTATATTTGGGTGCGTACATTAGGCGCAAGCCTCGTAAAGTTGTGTAAAGATTAAAAAAGTCTTACTTTACAGTTGTAAACGATGCAGCAAAAATTAAAAAGTCGCAACAATTATTATAAAAAAAGACATTGATTAAGTAAATAATAATTAATAATATTGTAATTAACTTGAATGTCCACTTTACTTGTTGAGACATTTCAATTATCTTTATCTAATAATAATCTTTGTGGCATAAAACAGTAATATGTATCTTATCCCCGCATTAACTGTGTCAAGTGACAATAAATATTATTTAAAACACATTAAAATAACAATTTAGTTTTATTGTCACAGAATATCTTTGTGGCATAGACCTATTTGTTTTATTATGACGAATTAGCAAATAGTATTTTAGCTTGTTTAGATCATATAAATATCAGTAAACTAACATTTTGATGACAACATACGGTTCAATAAATCATATTACATGTTAACAGAAAATTATTTAATCATTACCTTTCATAATTATTTAAAACCCAAGAGATAAATAACACAACTCTGAATATGTTTACTTTTCATTAATTTTAAATAAATAAAACACGAACGTTACCTTCCATTTTTAAAGAGAAATAAATGGAAAGGTTATTAAAAGGTATACAACTTTTTCCAACCATAACACTACTTTATTGCAACTTTGTAAGTGTTGCAATAATTCATCGTGGGAATGACACTACACAATATTTACTTTTACGTTCATGTCTATTGTTAACAACTCTATCATTTGGATCAGTGTTCTTGGAGCCGAAAATAAAACCCGTTAGGATAATTTCAAACAAGACGTAATGGTTTCCTGTCAATTACAAACAAAAAAGGTAATTATTGCGCGGTATTAAAACGTTATTACAAAAGGAATCCAAATGGATACAAGAAAACAGATTCATTTAATATTATGTATTAAAAAAATACAAATATTTTTAAATACAAATGACCATTTAGAAGCAAATATTTTATTTAGTTGGACAAAACAAGATTATATGATATTAGCAATGAAAAAAATTATAAATACAACATACGCAGGGTGTTAATTTTAACAAATTTTTAATATGCTCCGTCAAACAGAAAAATTTCGAAGTTATGCGAGTTTAAATTTTGCACTTTGACTCTGTTGCAAAAACAATTTTCTGCTAGAGGGTATTATAGAAGAGGAAACAATGAAGTTTTATCCTAAATTGTAACTCTGTTTAATGTTATTTGTGGCTTTTATTGGCAAAACTTTTGTACCTTTACTAAATAATTATAAAAAAAACATACAGGGTGCGCCAGAACTAGCGCCCCAGAGCAAAATTCCAAGATACCAGGAACATGAAAAAAAAAGTTTAAAAAATTCTATCAGTCAAAAAATTTTGACAATTATTTTTTGACATTTGACATTTTTTTATGTTTATTTAATGACATTGATGATCTTGTATATGTTTTTTTACAATTATTTAGTAAAGGTACATAAATTTTGCCAATAAAAGCCACAAATAAAATTGAACAGAGTTACAATTTAGGATACAGCTTCTTTGTTTCCTCTTCTAATTGACTGTAGCAAAAAAAGTTGAAAAATGATTTTTACCAACAGAAATAAAGAGTCAAAGTGCAAATTTTAAACTCTCATAACTTCAAAATTTTTATAGATCAAAATTTTTTAACATTTTTTTCATTTTCCTGGCATTTTACCTTATATGACATTTATACAAGTTCATCAGGATCATTAAATAGACATAAAAAATGTCAAATGTCGAAAAATAAATGTCAAAATTTTTTGACAAATTTTTTTAACGTTTTTTTCATGTTCCTGGATTCTTATTTTACTTGAATTTTTTTTTCTATTTCGGTGTTAGAATAAGTCTATTCCAGCACCCAAATGACGTCATTTGAGTGCTGGAATAAGTCGTTCGCAGTAATTTAATTTTAGTAACGGACTTTCTTCACAATTTATTTTCAAATGTGAAAATATGAATTATTTTTATTTTGTACAGCCGCCTAAAATTATTCCACACACCTAAATGTCGCCAACTGTCGCAAAATTCTCTAGAAAAAAGCCTAAATTTTCGTTTTTTAATTTATAAAATGATGTAAAGCGGCAAAATAGAAAAAAATAGTATAAAGCACTTGTTGCAGAAGGTTCTTCAAGCACTCATTTGTTTTCAAATTTGTGCTTGAATAGATAGATACCTTTTGCAACTTGTACTTTAAAATACTATTCTGGGACGCGAGTTCTGACACACCCCTGTATATACCTAAACTGTTGAGGTTCTACAGAGTAAGTACTAACAAAAAAAGAAAAAAAGAATGATTCTAAAAAATCGAAATAATTTAGCAATTGGTAAATAGATTTGGAACATTTTTTGTAAACTTAGGGGTCATAACAGCTTTAAAATTAAAGAAAAAATTGAAGGTGAAGAGAAACATGTTTAAAATCTAACACCCATGAGTTTTGAGATAAATTCCAAATAAAATTTTTAGTATTTATTCTTTTGATTTAAAGGTTGAAAGGATGACTTCTTTAAAACGTCATTTGTTTAGTCTTTTACAAAGAAAGGAATGAATGTAAGCAAACATGGATTAATTTATGTACATATTATGTAAATTGAAGTAACAATAAAATAAATAATCTTTGTAAACATTTTTATTTAGTTAAACCATAACAAACAATAATTATCCCCGAAGTTCTCCCAAGCATCTTTTCAAATGTTATTTTAATTATAATTAGTGAAGCTCGTAATTGCAGATAAAAGAATAAAGTGTATGAAAAAATGAGCATAAATTTCCGTGATTGTTTGTCCGTTTTGATTGCTGGCGATTAAAGTAATAATTCATAAACAGCAACCCATAAGGGGGCTGATTGATGCGGTTCACGGTGTTATTGTACTGTATCAAATCGAGCGATTGTAAAACGGTACTGAGGACGTACGACGCACTTGAGATGTATCCGGAGGCCTCTTGCGGGAGCCTTCTGCCTTGTAAATAAACCTTTTGAAAAGGTAAAACCATTGAAAATTGCTTCGAGTCGTGATTTTTGAATGAAACATTCGGCCCTTTTATGAGCGATACTGACAAAAGCGTGGGGCTTTGAGAGAGGAAGTCCTTAGAATGACTTTTGAGCCTAATTAGGGCTTTACTTACATAGTGCTGTGGATTATGTGAGGTTAATGGCACGAGTCCGGCTGGGTGTTGTGGGGAGAGTATCACATGGCGCAAGGTGCCGCTCTCGTCAACAATTTGTTGTACGACATGACCTGGAGGAACTTGTACTGGCATCGCAATGGGTGGCGACGAATTCGTTGATACCATCGGAACTGTTACAGGACCTGGAAAAAATCAATAGTGCAAAATTTAGTCGATATTACTTTGGCACATGATAAAGCGTTTCACCCTCATATTAGAAAAAATTACTTCAATCATAACAAATTTTATTGAAAGTCGTAAAACAGTACATAAAACGCCGGCTATGATAGCTACATAAATTTCTATCTTCAGTTCTGGTATTTCGTTTTATTATAGCTAGATTAACAGACGCTACGAGTGAAATTGTCGACGTGATGGGTGATGATTAACTTTTCGAAAACGTCCTCGTATAAGCCGAAACGTAAAACTGCTAGATTTTGACAAAAAATTTAAAAAACACAAAATGAAAGTTATTAACATATGTATAAACGATTTTTATTCATTAAATGAGCCTGTTCCTAGTGAGTGCTAAAATATGTATTTTTCTATTTTGCGTTTGAAAGAAAGCTTATTTCGATACCAAAACCGATGCTTTAATGAGCTATTTCAACACCAATTCGGGTGCTGAAATAGACTAGTACAATTTGCTCTATAGAGGTTGGTAATGGTGATTTTCAGCGGCGTTGATCGTAATTTTTTTGCAATATTCATTGCTAATTCAACAAAATAGTGAAAAATATTCAAGACTTGACATTTCGAAAATCGAATTTTTCAAACTTTGTGACATTTATTATCAACCACCACCATCCATGTTTTAAAAATCAAAAACAAACAAGAAATTAAGGATCAAAATCCAAAAATGTATTGATCCTAAAAGTGTATTTCTGGTATACTCTTCAGCATAGACATCACAATGTCAATCCACGATTTAGTAGAATTTAATTTAATTTTCTATTGGAATTCTAAAAATGTCTTATTATTTTCTTAAATTTTGACTGTAAAATTAACACTTTTTTTTGAACCACTCTGTATATTAACTACAGGCGAGTAAAGCTAATCCGGACTTCCGGTTAACCCCAACCGAGCTTAAAAAAACTAGGACAATTGTATAATACATAACAAAGTCGGCACACAATTTGTTTTCCGGAAAGTACTCACACAATTGATTGCCATTTTGTTTACTCGTATGTAGTATAAGAATAATTATGATCATAATCATAATTATGATGAAAAAAAAATCAATTTTAATAGTTTTATTCGTTTAAAGCTTCTTTTACAGACACTTTAAAGCTCATTTTGTTTAATTCGGACATTCGCTAATATGAACATGGTCCCGTTCCATTTAGTCCAAATTAGCGAGACTCTACTGTAACTTAAAGAATAATTAAAATCAAATGGTACATAATTAAATGTTAATTTGTCCATTCATAATGTAAAGTAAATGACAAGTTAATCTTGATTATTTAATAAATAAGATCTAACTATCTAAATAAAATTTGTTCTCAAAAATCACATTTTAGGAATTCTACTGTAAAATTAAACAAACTAAAATAGAATGTAAGGAAAGACAAAAATAAAGATTCCATTTTATACTTGAAGCCTATGAATAACTTCCTTATTAGAATAGTAAAAAAATCAATTAGGTATGAACCCCGAACCCGAAATAAGTAGATCATAAAAATCATGTTATTTATTATTTATTTTTTCCAAAACGAAGTAAATGAGGATTTTTGCAAAACTAATCCTTGATGCTTAAAAATTATCAAAAGTGTATTTGATTGTAATTAATACAAAAAAGGATAAACCGTTCTAATACACGGATAGTTTTGTGTGAAATACTAATTTTTAACACAAATAAAAAATTTAATACAAATATGTAAGTATCGACATACTATCATAATAATTAAATTTGATATTGTAGGCGCTACTAGATCATTTAAAACGTAAAACAATCAAGTAATTTAGATAAATTAGATACTTCCGAAAAAATTGCTTTGTGACTTGAATTTTATTAAATAGAAATCAATTGAAATCTTTATTAAAAATTTGCCTTAGGGTTATAAGTATAAAAAATGTGAGAGTTCTTTCGGGCTTTGGTGTTGTTGAAACGAACCATTCAGGAACAGCAATTTGGCCTTTGTCTCTTCCACGGCAAAGTAGAGCAATTTGAAATCTTGCTCCTTTTCAAGATTTCTGCTTTTTGCTGTTGTTTTATTTATAGCAAGTTTGATGTTAAACATAGCCTAGCAATACAGAAATGTGTATTCGTGGACAGGTTGCAATTCATGATGCGCGCAGACTAACCAATCACCTGGAGCCGGGACCAAAGACGTCCTTGACGATGCCAATGTCCTCTAGCTGTTAGTATAGGTATAGGCTACTGTTTGACCTTCTCATAACGACTTTCATTTCTGAAAAATAAAATTCCATTCGCCTTCCTATAACATGTTTTCGTTGGGGTACACGAGATAATGTTTTTGAGAGACTTGCAGAACTTGATTATCAGGTGAGTTGGTCGTTGAGTCGCTCGTTTTTTTCCCAAGTGTTGAGAAAATTTCTCAATTCTTCAACGTTTCATTGAACAGGAATTTGTTTAAACATTCACTTAGCACGTTTCACAGAAACGGTGAATGGTGGCAAATGAGCAAGCATTAAACTGCTTTGTTATTACCCAGCTCCACAAGCTTAATACCGCAAAAATTTTGCTTTTGACAAACTAGTTACTCGTGAGTTGGTGGTAAGAGTAAAAATTTGCAAAAACAGACTCTTGGTTTGGGTATAATTTGTTGGTTGTTAGGCTGGTGCAAAGATATATTTGCATCAGAGTAAAGTTCAAGCTTATAAATCTAAAAAGTCAGTTTGTTGCTTATATAACGTTCTTCGTTGTCTACAATTTGTTGGACTTAATTGAATCAGTTCAAGACTGATATTTGCAATCTCCGCTACAAGACTAATGTCTACATAAACCTGAATCAATCCATGTCGGTGGTTATGTAATATGTTACAATGAAATAACGAAATACAATAGCGATTTACATCACAATTACAATTTTATTGTTCTTCATTAGGTGTCTACTGATGTTCAAATAAATGGAAGTTACACTAAGTAGGAAAGATAAAAAATATATCAACTTGAAAGTGAAACAAGTAATTCTATCATTATTGAGTAATATCTGTCACGAGTAGGTAAGGATTTTTAAAAGGGTGAAAATCACATGATTACCACATGAATATTAATTCTGGTTATCCTATTACATTGGAAAGAAAATACATATATTTAATAATTGATACTATAGTATTTGGTAGTGCTATCACTTTGGATAATTTATGATGTTCGAAAGTAAAACCGTGAGTAACGTATATGCATCTGAATGCGACTATCGCAATAAGAAAATGTTATCAGTTTCGGGTAACTGACCTTATCGTATCAGACGTCTTGAAGGAATACTTGTGTATTTAATTTCCCCCATACTTTGATAACAATGAAATATTTATAGGTATATCTGTTTGTGTTAACTTACATTTCGGTCGCAAACTAAAAGTTGCATAAGAAATTAAACGCCCAGGGTTTTACATCAGATACATCAATATACGGTTTGTTGTCTGTTGGATGGAAATGATCTTTATCAATAATATTTACTTTAATACTAATATTAAGCGAACAGTGTATGCATACGATGTATTTTGTTAAAAAAATTCTAACAAAAACAAAGTTTTTCGTTTGTTCGTGGTTGAATAATAATTAAAAGAGAATAAATTTATTAGTTAGAACTTGTTCATTCATATTTCTAGCGATAACTGGCTTTCAAAAGCGAATGAACAAGTTTTAGTCGAGAAAATAGTTTTTAATATCTAAAATAATTTTCGAGGTAGATACTCACTAGCAATAATCCTCTGGTAATAAATAATTAAACTAAAAAACATAATGAATTAACGTAAGGATTGTTGTAACAGTTGTAAACATTGTGATTGGGCCGTTTAAAGTCGGCCATTATAAATAATGTAAAGAACCAATCACTTTAGACTTTAGATTAATTCATAAAATATAGCGAAATTGGTTAATTCTGATTTGCATTATACCGTGCGATCAAAAAAAAAAAAAAAAATAGAGTTGGCGGTGATTAAAGTCCTTCAGATGGCAATCCTGATTTTTGACATCGCATGTCTGTGGAAACTTAGACAAGTTTGCGTTTTATTCATTTTGAGTGAAATAATGTTCACTAGAAATACACTACCCAATAAAGAATATTATACAGTTGCCATTTATTAAAATTATGTTTTTTACAAACATTTTTGTTATTTATCTTACGTAAACTCATTTGTCACAGTCACATCGTTATCAAAAAAGTAAAACCGCTGATGTGATGGGATTTAAAACGCTGAGAAAAATAATTCCAAAAAATAAGTCCAAAATCAAGAGAAAAATGAACTTTTCTTTCCACTGGGTCAGCATAATGAAGTTTTAATTATAGATTTGCTCATTCAAGAAGCAAACTACTACTTTTCGTCAAAAAGTAGTTGATAAGTCCTATTATTGTATCAAATACTAGATTATTATCTTTATAATATTTTTTTTTATTTATATACACTTATTTCTTTTAAGCGGACACCTCCATTAACCGGACAAAAAGCATGTCATCACCGTCGGTGTCCGCTTATGGGAGATTTCACTGTACATATTTTAACAAAAAAATCACATACACAAAAACAAAACAAAATGTCATTTTCAAAACACCATCACATGTTTTATAGCACTTTCATTTTTGATAAATTATTGTTTACTAGAAGCAAATGATTAAAAAAACACTTGGTTCCTTATTTCTTATTCATCTTGTACTCGTAGATAGAATTACTATAAGAAGTAATAAACTTCATTTGGCAAACAATATATTTTGAGTGTTATTAATTGAGTCTACCATTTCATATGTAAATATTAGTTATCTTGCGATTTAACAGTTTGTAAATAAGATGAAATGTTGTCAGTTGTCACACAACAAGCACGTTCAAAATACTTTTTCAATGATTCACTCGTTATCATAAATTTTCAGATGATTAATCGTTTTCTTTTATTATTTGTTTTTTTAGTAAAACCAGTCGAAAGAATTCTATCCGAAAATAATTATGTGCATGTGCATCACAAACT